ATGAAAGGCCGCACAGGGAGTGCTTTCTATATGAGGAAAGACCTTTAGCTGGCAGAGACAAGATGGGGGCAGACAGGCAGGCCTGTGCCTAGCCAGACATTCGTCCTAGGACAAGTGACAAAGATGAGCCAGCACCACCAACAGGCTGCTCCCTGCAAGCAAACCACCCATTTCACAGATGAGAAAACAGGCCCTGAGAGTTGCCATGCCTCACCCAGAAACCAGGACCTGATCCCACACATACACACTCACCCAGCTGCTGTTTCCAGCCTACTTGGAGCCCACAGATTCCTGACCATCCACAGCTCTGAGGTGGGTAGCAGTGATTACCCAGGACATTTATCCACCAGCCTGAAGAACAAAAAATCTCAACAGACCCTCTCCATGGTTACTGCTGGGCAGTGGGCACTGAGGGCAGGAAAGAAGTGAGAGTAACACATGAGCCATGGGTGTTCTCATCAGCCACTCTGGAAACAGAAGTAAGCATGGCGAAAACAGTTCTCCATCCTTGTACTTGTAAAGTACCTTCACATCCACTAACTCATTCCACCTCCACAGCAGTTCTCTGAGTTACACAGGGCAGGAATTCTTATATTCATTTTCCCTGTTTTATAGATTTTAAAAATGAAGTACGGGGCTTCCCTGGTGGCACAGTGGTTGAGAGTCCGTCTGCCGATGCAGGGGACACGGGTTCGTGCCCCGGTCCGGGAAGATCCCACATGCCGTGGAGCGGCTGGGCCCGTGAGCCATGGCCGCTGAGCCTGCGCTCCGCAACGGGAGAGGCCACAGCAGTGAGAGGCCCGCGGTTCGCAAAAAAAAAGAAAAAAATGAAGTACGACTTGCCCATTGCTAGAGAGGAACAGAGACCAGAGGCAGACCTAGGGTTTCTGGTGCCTAATCCTGGCCACATCCTGTTGTGCATCTATGTAAGCAATCTCCTGTGATATGTGTCCACAAAAACCCCCCTTATCTGCCCACATCCAGGATGAGTCACCCTGTCCCTAGAAATGTTGTTTGGGACCCTCCAATGCATGGCTATACGGGAATTCCTTTCTCTGGGTCCTCATCTTTGTTTCAGCTCTGTAGATACATCCTTTGTGAGGAGACCCTTGGGATGGGTGGATTTGTACTGTGTCTAAGTGTCTGGTGTGGCCTCTGCAACATGATGGGTGCTCAATAAACATGTGTTTCCTGGTTGGCTGAGAGGCTTGACATCCTTTTGTGGAATTACTTCTCCCCCAGGGTATATAGTCTCGGTGGTACTGCAAATCAGGTGCGCTATCCTCTCCCAGCCAAGAAGCAAGCAGATGACACCAGCTTGCCTGGTTATCCTCCCTCCCTAGGACTCTGAATCCTTAATAGATTGAGATGTGGATAGGAAAAATGGCTGGAGTACATTTATTTCAATAGTGGTGGCCTGATGAGACTGTCAAGCAGTAGCTGCTGCCCAAACACCCAGATAGTTTCTCACCTGTCCTTTTTCCAAGTCAGGTTCTCCAATGCTCTATCCATTCTAATAGCTACTCAGCATTACCCCCAGTACATTACCCTCCTGCTTAAGTTAGCCAGAGTTGTTTTCTGCACTTATAAGCAAAATCTTAAATGACACAGATGTAGAGATGAAGGTACGGGTGGATGGGTGGAAGAATGGAAGGAGTGGAGGAGTGAGTGAAGTGAAAGGGCCGAGCAGCGAGCATGTGGACGAATGCAGTACTGCCCATGGAAGGACTTCATGAGCCAAGTGGTAAGGTGAGTCCCAAGCCTTGGAAAGACGGGAGGTTAAGAAGGGGTAATAATGATAACCCCTCAGCCTTACCTGCAGGAGGAGTGATATTAACCAATTTTAGGGGCAATAAGACACCTATCCCCAGCTCTCCTCCAGGACACTACAGATCCTCTAGTTTTGTATCTTTTAACAGAGAATGGCCTCAGAAATAATACTGTCAAACCTCCATTTCCTAGATAAGGAAACTGAGGGCCACAAAAGGCAAGAGGTTTGCCAAAATCTCACAACTAGGTTTGGCGCTGAACTGGGACTAGAGCTCAGGTCTCCTAATTCCCTGTCCCTTGCTCTTGTCACTGCCCAAAGCTTCCTCTGTTAGGAATGACTAAGGTGCAGAATTTCCAAATCCCATTTTGAGGAAATTCCCCAAGGGGACTTCCTCTCCTAGGCTGAAGGTCCTAAAAAACGCATATGGCTCAGGAGGTGCTAAGGTCCATCCTGTTGTGGCCTGAATGATCTGCGGTGGGGGGATGCACAGGGGAGGCAAGGCGAGAGACTGCAGACCCCCAGCCCCGGGAATGGACGCAACAGCCAAGAATCCAGGGGGCTTCTCGAGACCAGCTCAAAACAGGGGCAGGATCCAGATCACAGCCACAAGAATCCTGTAAGATCCTGAAACGTGTGTCACTTCCTTTGTAAGCCTGTCTGTGAAACTCTTTGAAAAAGGGTCTGTGTGCTGACCTGCAGGGACAGCCAGGAAGGGGGAAGAGGGGACCATGTCTCACCCCATGACCAGGCTCAGAGAGAGAGAAATCCAGAGAAGGGCAGAGCACAGGGCCTGAGTCTCTGAAGCCTGCCGCACAGAGGGCAGGAGAGCTCAAGGCAGGCCTGAGTCATCATTGTTTTCTATGTGTTTTCTTCCTAATCAGTGAAATAATGCCTAAAATATCTAGCACAGCGCCTAATAGCTAGTGGAAAGTCACCGTCAACACCCCTTGCCTGCCCTCATGCCTCCTGACACTGAGCTGAGATGAACACCTCTCCTGGGCGGAGGGGGGAACATTGAGGGAAGAAATGCTAGAGCCTGGACATTTGGGGAGAGAAAGAGAAGGCATCAACTTCTGAGTATGTACTTGTGCCAGGAATGGTGCCGAGCAGTCCACTGGTTGCCTCATTTCATACTCTGCGGTGTCCCAGGAGCTAGGATTCTCTGCCCTATTTCTAGAAAGGAAGCCAAAGTGTAGACTAGCTAATAACATGACCAAAGACACACAGAGAGTAAGTGATGTGTCTGATCTCAGCCCCAAGTTTGTCCCCCTTAACCGGCCTTTCTCCTTGGGGCTGGGGACAGCAGAAGGGAGGGGCTGCCGTCCTCTGAATGTACGCACAGAGAAAGGGGAAGCCACTGACAAACACGCAGAGGAAAACAAAAACAAAAAACAGACTCCGAAGTGTGAGGAAGAGGCCCTGAAATCGTTTGCCCACCTTACCCACCCCCCCCCCGCCCCCAGCAGTTTTGGAAGAATTGATGCTTCTGCCTGGGCCTCGCTCCCACAGCTGCCCCCCCCCACCCCCGCCAGGATGTGTTGCAGTGGGCTCCTCCAGTCCCCCGAAGCAAGTGAGCACATCAGCAAACACACCGCCTGTGGTCTCCAGCTGCAGAAAACAAGTGGGGCATACACAGCCCCTGAACTGTGTGGTGAAGGTGCGAAAGGCCGGGGAGGGGGGCCAAGCTGCAGCCCTCCAGCCTGACTGTGTTTGAACAGGAGAACGGTCGTCACAGTTGGTACCCTGACACAGTGAAATGTAGCAGGGGATGGGGAAGGGAAGGGAGGCACAGAATAGAATGACATAGGATGAACAAACCAGAGCTGGACCAAAAGGCAAGGGCAGGCTGTAGCAGGAAAAGTCTTGAAGAGGGGTTCAAATCCTGTTCCCACCTGGGCAGATCCCCTGAGCCTGCTGGGAGGCCTCCCCTTGCACCTTCACCCTGCCGCCCCCTACAGACCTCCGCCAGCACTAACGGAGCACCTACCCCAAGCAGGGCCCTGTAGGCACAAGGAAGCGGGAGACGGCCGCTCACTGGGACACGTGTTAACAAGGGCAGAGGAGGGACACAACCAGAGAGCAAATCTCCAATTTGTGAATGGAGAAAATTAAGGTCATCAGGAGGAAATGACTTTGCCTCAGGCTTCTCCTGGGGCCCAGACTGGGATTCCTAGAGGATGGAGGGAATTTCCCTGCTTTGGACATTTTTTTTTTAAGCAGCCAAAAAAGCCAGAGCGGCTCCCCACACAGTCATGGGGGGGAACTCCAGGTCAGAGCAAAGCTTCAGAATCCAGATCCGATGAGGTTTCGCTTTCTTTGTCTGCTTTTGGTTTTCCTAACGTCACAGTGGGAGGCTGAGCAGGCAGCCAGCTTCGCTTACGAAATGAAAGAGGAAAAAGGAAGACTGGGCCAGGAGGGCAGGGGAGGAGCTGCAGTAGGCTGGGGCAGAGTGTGCGTCTGGCTTCAGTGCGGGATGTGCTAGGAAAAGGGGTGCAGGACAGAGGAAGGGTGATGAGAACCAGCCCTCTGAACTCCAGAGGCCCATCAGTGAGCCTGCTGGGTCTATGAACCTCTTCTATGCAAAAATTACATGTGTGAGGGTTTAGGTAGGTCTCCACATGTTTGTGGAAAGTGTTCACAGCTTTCATCAGGTTCTTAAAGGGCTCCATTCCCCAGAACAGGTTAGAATCAATCTCTCACTCGACAGATGAAGAAACTTAGTCCCAGAGAAAGTAAGCAACTTGCTCCAAGCCAGAATTAATAATACAGCTGGATATTGAACCCAGGAGTCAGACGCTAGAGAGCCCATGAACTTAATCAAGATGCTGTAAGAAGTTATCAAGACTAAAGCAGCATTAATTTAGCATCTATCATGTCCAAGACATCTGTTGGAATGCAGGGGGAGAATACAAAAAACAAATAGAAAAAAAAGCATAGGACATTGTTACTGTGTTCAGGGAGTTAAGACAAGACCAGTGAAAAGTTGACTCACAGTAAAGGAGTATGTTTTCCCTTGTTCTGGGTGAGCTCTCCCCTCCCCCCACACACAGACACTCCAGAGGGCAGGTCTTTGGCTCACATGGTGTCCTCAGCACCTAGAGGGCTGCCTGGGTCACAGCAATTCTCAGTGACAATTTGCGGAGGCAGCAAGGAATGATGGAGCGGTGTAGGCCAACCACACTGGCGGGATAGGGAGGACAGAGACAGCTTCATGACGTTTGCACCTCACCTGACGGTCTCCTAAGCACGTCCACTGTCATCACTTCCCTTGATCCTCTCGACCGCCAGTGTGGTGAGTCAGATGGGCAGGCGTTCCTGGTTTTCGGGAACACAGAATGCCAGGTAAATCATAATGACAGTTGCCATTCATTGGACACCCACCCTGTACCAGGTACCGTACTGTTTACACAGGTGCTCTGATTTCCTCATGGAATCAGTACTTTAGAGCCAGAGAATATACTGATTCCGTGAGTCTGAACTCTGATTTTGCACAGGAGAAAGTGAGTGGCAGAAATGGAATTACAGTCAGGTTCTTCTCTCTCCTCTGCACACCCATAATCCCCTGGAACCACCAAAAGGGAAGAAAAATACTCCTGATGTACCCACTGCCTATTCCTGCTTAGCAACCCTGTCATCCTACCCACTCCCTATTCCCACTACCATTTATACACAGACATGCACACACACTTACACACAGCAGAATCGTTCACTGGGATTTAAAGATGGGGATGAGGTTGGTCGTCTGTGGTTCCCTCAGCTCTGTCCTCAGCTCGTGCCCCAACTCAGCGTATTTGGTATCCAGAAAAGTACTTTCCTTTCTTCCTTAAAGAAGGAAACTGAGATCAAGGAAAGGCAACAGAAATAGAGCTCACAGGGAAAAACAGCCTTAGCAAACGTTTCAGGATTTCTCTAGATACAATGCAGTGTGGTAGGAAGCTAGGAACCAAGACAGACTTGGGTTCCATGTTGAATTCTTATCACTTTAGGAAATGTGACCTTAAGCAAGTCATTTAACCTCTCTAAGCCTCAACTGACCCACCTGCTTAAAAATAGTCTTCGTAATAGGGTTCACGAATCCACATCAACTGGGGTCCGGGGTGGGTGGGTGGGGCTGTCTAGATTGCCGAAGAACCTACAGTATAGAATATCCTTAAAGGGACTGCCATTTTCTTACTCAATAATAACACAATAATAATAGCTAAAAAATAATAATAATAATAATAGCTAATGTTATTAAGTACTTAACAGTGTCAGGCATTGTACTTAAGAGCTTTCCAAGCGTGAGCACATTTATGGCAACTTAATTGTCTCAACAGCTGTGGGAGGGGCCACTGTTATTATCGCTGATTTATAGATGAGGAAACTGAGACCAGAGAGATGAAGTAACTTGTAGGAGGCCACCTGGCTTGTAAATGAAACACCAAAGCCCCTGCTCTTAACCACTAGGCAGCACAGCCTCCCACATGTTTGCTGACTAAGAGGATTACATGAAGGGAACAATTCAAACAGGCAGATCATTTTTGTGTAGATGGCTGGATGTTTCTTAAGTGCTTACAATTTATTTCTTTAAATGAGATGGGCCATGGTTTCCAAAACTGTGCTTCTATTGGTAATTGTTTAACGAGTCAGGAGGGAATGAGAGGATTCTTATGACAAGTTGAGAACAGCACCTGGCACCTAGAGAGGATGAAGAACAGCTTAACTGCCTGAATGATGTGGGTCAGTGGAAAGAGCTTGAGCCTGGTCATCAGAATCACTTGGGTTCATAAATTGGTACAGTCACTAGGGAGAACAGTATGGAAGTTCCTTAAAAAACTGAAAATAGAGTTACCATACGATCCAGCAATCTCACTCCTGGGCATGTATCCAGAAAAGACAAAAACTCTAATTTGAAAAGATACACGCACTCTGTTGTTCATAACAGCACTATTTACAATAGCCAAGACATGGAAGTAACCTAAGTGTCCATCGACAGATGAATGGATAAAGATGTGGTATATATGCAATGGAATAGTACTCAGACATAAGAAAGAATGAAATATTGTCATTTTGCAGCAATATGGATGGACCTAAAGATTATCATACTAAGTGAAGTAAGTCAGACATCATAGATTATCACACTAAGTCAGAGAAAGATAAATACTATATGGTATCAATTATACGTGGAATCTAAAAAATGATACAAATGAACTTATTGACAAAACAGAAACAGACTGACAGACATAGAAAACAAATTTATGGTTACCAAAGGGAAAGGGCAGAGGGAGGGATAAATTAGGAGTTTGGGATTAACAGATACACACTACTATATATGAAATAGATAAACAACAAGGAACTACTGTATAGCACAGGGAACTATATTCAGTAGCTTGTAATAACCTACAATGGAAAAGAATCTGAAAAAGAATATGTATATATATAGATATATATGTATCTATACATATACATATATCTGAATCACTTTTCTGTATACCTAAAACTAACACAATTTGTAAGTCAACTATGGTTCAATTTCTTTTTTTTTAAGTCAATCTGAAAAAAAAAAAAATACTTGGGTTCAAATCCCACTTATTGCTGTGTGACCTCGAGGACCTTAGTGACCTCTTCTGAGGCACGGTTTCCACTTCTATAAAGGGAGAATAATAACCATCCTGCGTCAAAGTCTTCGGGTGGAAGAAATGAGACAAGTTCTCCCCATTCTGGGTGATTCAGTCACCCTCAGCCACCAAGTTACATATGTGACGATAGCTAGCAAAAAACATCCTTGGTGTAAGATTATGTTTTTTTTTTAATTACGCTTTTTTAAATGCGTTTGCCTTTGTTACTGTCAACAGACACTTTTAGATAATTCAGAAGTCAACTTCAGCCCAACCCAGGCCAAACTGTCACTAATTCTGAATTATCCAAATAGGAATTGATGAAGATTGACTGTATCCAATTCTTTGGAATGGAGGAAGGACCTTGGCTCTAATCCAGACCACCACTTCATTCAGTTTCAAGGATGTCCCAACCATGAACCTTTTCATGGTGAGCAGTACTTAGTGGATCGAGCACTGCAGCGAGAGCCAGGGCACCTGGGCTCTGATCTCGTCGTACTGCCCTTCCTCCTGTCCCCAGGGAAGCAGCTTCCTGACCTCTGGGAGGACCCCCGCCCTGGCACACGAAGCTGAAGATGCCAGCAGAGGAAGAGATTTTTCCACCACCGCTGCTTGTGCTGGTTCTTCTCAAGGGCAAAGAGGGAAGTGATGAGCTCACTCTGGACTGGAGGGCAGTGAAGAGAGGAGCGAGGGAGAGAGAGAGACTCAAATTTCCGGAGGCTATTTCAGTTTTCTTTTCTGTTTTGTGCAATTTCACTTATGATATCAGCCAGTGTGTGGCTGCTCTTTTGGAAACTCCCCTAGTGAGGGCGCCCCCTCTGCTGGCCGGGCTCCCTATAAAGGGCCAGCCTGAGCTGCAGAGAATCCCTGCAGAGGATCCTGAGACAGCAGGTGGATCTCCCACAGCCTCTGCTCACAGCTACCATGAAGGTCTCCGCCGCCGCCCTCGCTGTCATCCTCGCCATGGCTGTCCTCTGCGCTCCTGCATCTGCCTCCCCATGTAAGTCCAGGTCCTGACCACCACACCCCCCGGGGTCCAACCCTTAGACTGGCCCAGATCTCGCCCTCTTTTCAACTGTAGCATTTATACCATCTGAACCCTATGACTTACATTCCCCTGTACTGCTTTACCCAGATGTCCAGTTGTCCCTGATAGATCTCAAAGCCACTTCATGGCAGGGACCCTCTGAACAACTTGTATGTGTCATCAAGGTCTACACCCCAAGCCCTATAGGAGCTCGCTGAGTGTGGACTGATGCTGGGGATACTAGCAGGCAGGGGCAGCTCGAGCTGACCTCCAAACATGACTAACTCATGTCTAGCAGCAGCAGGGTTTCTAAGAAGCTTCTAAGCACTTAAGTAAAACTCTCCTGGGACAGTCATATTCCCTCCATTTCACAGATGGAAAAAAATGGGACTTGATAAAGGATAACAAAATCTAATTAAATGCCCACTCTGGGTCAAGCATTGTGCTGATTGCTTTGCAAATATCATCTTATTTAATGCTCACATCTACTCTTTGAGTAGCTGTCCTCGACTTATAGAACCCTGGAGAGGTTAAGTAACTTGTCCAAGTTCACGCAACTAGGAAGTAAGGAAAGCAGTGTTCAAACCCAGCTCTGTTTGGCTCTGAAACACTACTACTCTGCTGGAAAATGGCAACTGACACTTCCCGGGGCCATCCTGAATTAACTGACCAACAAAAAGTCCTCCTTCTCTGTTCAGAGCCCTTCTCAGCATGCCTCAGCCAGAGGGTCCCAGGATAAAATATGCATCTTCAGGCCTCTCTTAGGGGTCCTGGCTCCGTCATGAAGTCTGAGTTTTGGAAGCCTCCCCGCAACCCACCCTAGGTCTCAAAGAAACCAAGTTCTGAACCCACTGAGGATCCTAGGAGAGCAAGAATAAGGGCAGAAGACCTAAGACAAGCCCGGACGAAACACAGGATGCCATCAGAGCCAAAGGCATGGGGTCGTGGTATAGAGGGAAGGCTCAAGGATTAGGTGAGGGAATCCCCACTCTGGCACTGTGTGTCCATGGCCAAGTGACTTTACCTCTCTGAGCCTCAGTTTCAGCCAAAGGAGGATAATAGTCTGTTCAAGATAAATCATATAGGGACTTCCCCGATGGTCCGGTGGCTAAGACTCCACGCTCCCAATGCCGGGGACCTGGGTTTGATCCCTGGTCGCAACTAAGATTTCGCATGAGGCAACGAAGATCCCACGTGCTGCAACTAAGACCTGGCGCAGCCAAATAAATATTTTAAAAACAAAAAGCTTTTAAAAAGATAATTCATATAAAGCACCCAGCACAATACCCAGTGTGCACTGGCAATGAATCCAGGAGTCTTCTTTCTTCCCTCTCCCAGATGCCTCGGACACCACACCCTGCTGCTTTGCCTACCTCTCCCTCCCGCTGCCCCGCGCCCACCTCCGGGAATATTTCTACACCAGCAGCAAGTGCTCCATGGCAGCAGTCGTGTGAGTCTCAGCCCTGTGGAACCCTCCAGGGGGTGAGGGAGGGACACCTTTTGCCCCAGAGCCAGTCCCCCGGCCATGAGCCCTCAGAGATGGTGCCCCATCCACTCCCACCCATCCTCCGGCTGCTCAAACAGCCATGGTTCCTCCCTCTCTAGCTTCAGGTCCCCCAGCTATTGTGGAAAAAGGCTAGACAAGGTGTTCCTGAAGGATCCTCCCCACTCTGATGGGCTAGGTTAGGTCTCTGATCTTTACGGATGTGACTGTTTCTTGAACCTGGTCTGCCATGCCCCTGGGTGGAGAAGATCGACTCAGTCATCTCTTTCCAGTTAAGAACCCCGCAGTCCCTCATATCCGACACCCAATCAAATCCACCTGCAACTTCAAAAGGAGCTAAAGAGGAGAGGTCAGAGGTCAAGACCCTAGTTACAGTCAAGCGTGTTAAAAAAAATGTTATTGATGAAGAAATAATGAAATGAGATTCTCCTTTAAATACGTAAGCTACCATATTTAGAAAAATAATAATCCTTGCTACCTAGGAAGTGCCTACTGTGTGTCAAATGTCTTACATGCATTATCTCTACATTTTATCATAACATCCCTGACAGGTATGCATAATTTTCTCCACGTTTCAGATAATGAAAGTGAGACCCAGAGAGGTTTGGTGACTTGCCCAAGGTTGTACAGTAAGTGAGGGAGGGATGGAGCCTGTTTCTGGAGTCTCCTCTTTCTACTCTAGCAAGGTCATTAGTGATAGTGGCTTAAGAAGTTTAAGATGACAGAGACTTAAAGAATGAAAATGGGGCAATCACGAAGTTTTCCATATAACGATGAAGTTTTTTAATCCAAAAATTTCTGTGACACTGGCAAAGTTACAGGTATTCAGATTTGGCCTTTGGTCCTGATGAATCTTTCGAAGTATAGCAATAATATTCAGCACTACTGGGACTTCCCTGGCGGTCCAGTGGTTAAGACTCTGAGTGCGGGTTCCATCCCTGGTCGGGGAACTAAGATCCTACATGTCACGTGGCACAGCCAAAAGAAATGTAGCACTGCTAATTTTATCTCTGAAAACAAGTATTTTTCAAAAGGAAAAAAAATCCTTTTTTGAGCACCTATTATGGGCAGGCAGAGTGGAGTAAACCACCATCCCGGCCCTTCTGGGGCTCACAGTCTAAGACAGATGTAGCAATGACCAGGGCACCCTGCATAAGATGTTACAAAAGGAAAGAGGGAACACACCGCGATTCAGGGCTTAGCCAAGAGAAGGGATTTAGGCAAAGTTTGCTGCAAAAAAGTGCTGTTTGACTTGGGATTGTACTGAGGGACAGGGTGTATGAGGCAGAGGGGATGTCGCCAAGACTCTCCTCTGGTTTTTGTAGAGTCTCCGTATAGGAAAGCACTGAGGGCCTTGAGTGTCAGCACAATGAAGCAAAAGTGTGAAATGAGCTGGAACGGGGAAAGTCTAGGTAAGAGAGGTCCAGTGGAGAGGCTGCTGTTGTCCACATGAGTGGTACTGAGGCTGAACAGGACCTGAAGCGAAGGAGAGACGGGGTGAGGAAGCTTCTGAGGCGGAATCAGCAAGCCCTGGCAGGGGCTGTGAGGTCGGTAGCAAGGAAGAGAGAGGGGTTGAGTGTGATGCTGAGGTTTCAACCCAGACCTGGAGAAGGGTGAAGGTGGAGCCCCCTGAAGTCCTGAGGAAGAGCTGTTTAAAAAGGAAAGGACCAAGGTGCCAGCACAACAACTCTATGGAAAGCAGCAGGAAATGTACGATGAAGGGTTTGTAGCCGAGGAAAGGGTGCTGGGGCCGGAGATGTGACTTTTTTTTTATAGGAGGAAGGGGTCTCCCGATGTCACAGTGGCAGGAATACAGCAGTCTTGGCTGTTCCGGCTAGTCTGTGTTGATTAAAATCCCAGCTCTGCCAGTTAGTAGCTGCATGAGCTTGGGCCCGTCACTTAACCTCTCTGAGCCTCAATTTCTTCATCGGCAAAGTGCAGTAAAATAGAGGTATTTCCCTCACTGGGTCAAAGTGAGGATAATAAAAAGAAAGATAATAAAAAGAAAGATTAAAAAAAAGATAAAAAGATATAGATATCTTTTTATCTATAAAAAGATAAAAAAGAATATTTCCTGGCACACAGTTAGGTGCCTGATAAGTTGTTAACTTATATCATCATCCTTCTCCCCCTCTAAATGTATTATTACATACATAGAAGTGACAAGTGAAACTTGAGGAGTGAATGCAAAACATTCAGTCACTAACTCATTCAATAAATATCCATTAAGCACCTACGGTGTGCCAGACCCAGGGCCAGAGACTTGAGGAAGCGCACAGGAGAGAAGGGCAGCCACGTTGAGCATACCTGCTCTCAAGGGGCAGGGGAAGGCGGAGGGAAGTCAGGCCAGGAGAGGCTCCCCACAGAGCGGGCAGGGAGAGAAGGCTTGGCAACGGGGGCTGCTAGCCAGTATCACATTCAGCAGGGAGCAGCAGCAGGAAGCCTGGGCAACCCTCCCCCCAGATGTCGGTTTCCTGGCCTTTCGACTTCCTGGCCTCAGGCCAAGGGGGCTGAGGAAAGAGGACAGTGAGTCTGCAGGATCTCCTGTATGACACCTGGCTTGCCGAGGGCAGGGTCTGCATCGGAAGCTCCCTCACCACCCCAAACAAGAAGACAAATACTAGGAGGCACCAGAGCCCAGTACACCCCTTCTGCTCCCTTTCTCTTCTCTGCACGCCAGGCAGGGGAGAAAGAGAGGTGGTCAGGTGGCTCTCAGTGAGGCTCAGAGAAGGGGAAGCAGCTTCCCTGAGAAAAAACGCTCTCCATGATAGAGCACGAAAAGGGGCCAAGAAATTCTCATTCTCATCAGATAACCTAAGCCTTCACTTTGTCTGGAAACATCTCAAAAAGGTGCAGGAAAGCATCCTGAAGGAGAAGCCAAAATGAGAATGGTCCACATAGGCAGGGCTAGCTCCACAGTAACACATTAATGGGTAGCACTGCTGGCCAGGCCCAGGGTGTCCCTCAGAGAGAACCAGTCTCCCAGCAAACAGGTAAGGCAGGCAGCTGGACGTAGCCCATGATCCCCGGCCTGTGAGCCTTCCAACTTACACCATCAACACCTGTAGAGATAAGGCCTCCCGCCCTCACCGGCCTCCACATTCTGGCCGGTTAACTGGTAGAAGTGCTTTGACATCTGCCAGTATCGCAGGGTCCTCAACCTCTCCGAGCCACGGTGTCCAGTACCGGGACCTTTGGGCTCATGTTGCTGTGATCCACCCTAAGGCAGAGGTCCCGCAGCACCCCAATAACAACACACGCATGGTATTTTTCAAAACTAATTTATATATACTATCTCATCTGAGCTTCACAACAATTGTGCTAACTAGGAATTATTTCTGTCCACATTTTAGAGGTAAATGTACAGACTCAGAGGCGCTAAGTGATTTGCCCAAGGTGATCTAACTAGTAAGTGGTGAAATGAAGACTCAAGTTCATGTCCTTCTTCTGTTCACCCAGGCACACACAGATGGGCTCCTCTGTCGAGTGTCTATGTGTGCCAGGCACTGTGTTATCTAAGGCCAGATCACACATTTGTTTCACCACCTCATCTCCCACTTACTCAGCCATGACTCAGTTCCTGGAAGACACCTCTTTTTCTCTGCATCTTCAGCACCCAGCACAGGGTCTGAAACAGGAAGTGCTGAGAAGTGGTTGACCAGCTCAAGCCTGGGCTCCTAGGGCCCCGTATCCCCTTAGATCTCCAGGCTGCATGTGTTTTTGCGGCTTGGGGGGCGGGGGGTTAAAATGCACACAGGACTGCTTCTGGCTTGGAGCCCTTTGACCCAACAGAAAAGAAAATGTTCTTTCCTTGAACGCCACCAATACAATCATATGGAGCTCCAAAACTAACCCACCCAGTATCATTTCCCCCCTGCCTCAATCCACCTCATCTCCAAAACTGGCGCTCCCAGCACTGACCAGGTCTCACCCTCTTCTCTTCCACAGTTTTATCACCAGAAAGAATCGCCAGGTGTGCGCCAACCCAGAGAAGAAATGGGTGAAGGAGTACATCAACGCTTTAGAGTTGAGCTAGGATAAAGGACGCCTTGAACCTGAACTTGTGCAAACTTTGCTTCTTGCTCTTGTCCTAACCAGCTTGGGAGGTTTCCCCCCAGTGCCCTCCTCCCACCCGCTCCTTGGAGGGCACAGATTCCACCACCCGCAGCAGCTGCTGTAAAAGCCTCCCAGGGCTCCTGGGGCTCTGCCTTGTGCACAGGAGGTCTCTAGGCTCCGCGCTTCAGAGCCCTCGCCCGGCCACCGCTCTGCAGCACCTCTGGAGGAGAAGGAGGGAGGGAGACTGGGCTCCTACTGTCATGCCCCATGACCAAAGCACCCATCTCAGCCCCTCACTGGGAAGGGGTGACTGGCAAATGTAAGAAATCAGAGTTTCATTAAAATTCTCAACGCAATTACAAAGCAGGCTCCTGGTTTGACTTCCTGTCAGGAACCCCCCTTCCTCGTGAGCGTTAAGCACTGGATCCAGGGCTGGTCACATCTGGGGTCCATCCTGGATTTGGGGGTTGTGGCCCTATGCAGTGAACAGGCCCCGGGGGCACAGGCTCTCTGAAAAGGGGCCTGGGCAGGACAGAGCAGGTAAAGGGACCAGAAGCTCATCCACTCTGAAGGGAGACAACAGTCACTACCTCCCAGCCCCGAGGCCCTGAGAGTTTCTCTCACTTCCCGCCACACACCTCCCTGCTTCCTCAGACCATGGTCGGCCCTTCTGCCTACTCTGCTGGCTTCCACCCTAGCCCACCCTACCCCTTACCGGCAGTGGGTTTCTTTGACACACCACTCGTGCCCCTGGAATGGGATTTCATGGCACTCCCAAAACACCTCAGTTCTTTCAAATAAAGAGAAGGAGGGATTTTGTTGTTTTCTACCACGGCACCAGCATTTTTCAGGTGGGAGTATTCCAACTTTCCCATCGATGTGTTCCTTCCCGTGAACCTGTCTTGGCAAATATATCCACATAATCAGAGCTGGCGTTAACTGCGCTATCACTCTGTGCCAGGCATTGTCAGCTCCCTACATCCACCATCCTTCATCTTCATAACCCTTTGGGGCAGGGAGTATTATTAACCCTGTTTACAGTGGGGGAAAACCCTTGGCAAGAGATGGAAATAACTTGCCCAAAGCCCCAAAGCAAAACAAAAACAAAAAACAAACAAACAAACCAAAAAAACAGGGGAGGTGGGGTGGAAGGTGGTACAATTAACATTTAGATGCACCAGGTCCAAAGTCCAATGCCAAAGCTGCTGCTTTTTTTTCCATCTTTAATCTGCAAAATTTCAAACCTAGTGAAATTTGCAAGAATACACCCATATACCCTTCATCTAGATTCAAATATTAACATTTAACCGCATTTGCTTTATCTACGTGCATGTATGTGTGTGTGTATATACACACACACGTATATTATACAGATGGTTGGTATGTACATTTTTTTCTGAAATGAAAGTTGCAGATGTGATATCACTTCCCCCCAACAGTTTTAGTGTGTATCTCCTAATAACAAGGACATTCTGCGTAGCCACAGAATGAGTAGCATTTAACACTGACACGATATTATTTTCTAACATAGAGTCCATGATCAAATCCCCACAATTGTCCCAATTATGTCCTCTAGAGCTATTTTTTAAAATCCAGGCTCCAATGACAGGCACATATTGAATTTAGCTGTTGGGTCTTTTTAGTGTCCTTTAACAGACTTTCTTTGTCCTTAAGATATATTGATATTTTCTTCAGGAGTTCAGATGGGATTTTTGTAGAATATTTCCTAAGGTGGGTTTGCCTATTGTTTCCTCATACTTAGATTCAGGATGAACATTCTCGGCAGGAAAACCACATGGTGACGCTGTCTTTCTCAGTGCAGCACATCAGTTTATTGCAAGCGATGGTCCAGTCAGAGGACTTGGTGGCCTGTGTTTTCTCACTACAGCGAGCTGCCTGCTGTGTGCCAGGCACTATGCTAGGTGTCGAGGTTGCAGTGTAGCAATCACTGCAAGCAATGAAAGGAATTCTGTGTAGTACAAATGACATGAAACCTTCGACAGAAGCAGTGGCTCAGCGAGCACGAGGACTCTACGACAGTCAGCTGTTGGTGGCAATGGAAGCTGATGTACAGCTGATAGACTCTGAGATAAAATCTGTAAAGGGATGGCATTTCTACTTTTCAGTGTCAATATATGTGACTATCCACATTTGCATTTTTTTATTATTGCTGTTCTTATATATTTTAGTAATTCCAGAGTTTCTTTTATTTTTATTTTTTTTAGTTTTGGCAGTGCCTCACAGCATGTGGGCGGCATGTGGGATCTTCGCTCCCCAACCAGGGATTGAACCCAGGCCCCCTTCAGTGGAAGTGCTGAGTCTTAACCACTGGATCGCCAAGGAAATCCCCACATATTTTTTAAAACTCAGATTTTTTTTTTCTAAAATGAAATAAAAAAAATGTGCTCAGTGATCAAAAGGAAAAAAAAGAGTTCCACCTCTTGCTGCCAAGGAGGGAGGCGTGTATATGAACAGGGCTTTCCCATTTTTTTTGCCATTTTCCTGATGACTAATCCTAAGGACAATCCCTGCTCCTAACATGGGCTACGTGAGCTTGAAGTTCACTAAACGCTTCGACTTTCCTTTTGAATTTATGCCTCACCACTGCCCCTCTACCTAGCCAGACAAGCATGGCTTTCCCACTTTTCAGATAAGGTAAGTGAAGCTCCCAGAGAGAGAGGGACTAGCTCAATCCACAGGCAAGTAGATGCCAAGTCTGGGACTCCAGAATGGAACCGGAGTGTTCTATTTACCTAGGCGATCTGGTTGCCCAGCACTTGGAGGCTTCCACCTCCAGAAGCCCAGACACCTCACTAGTCCCCCTTGTGCCACAGAGGACAGGTCTCCCTGAGCTGTGACCCTGCTCCCACAAGGGAGTAGTCCCTGTAGTCCCCTCCCCAACCCAGGTGCTCTCTGGTTCCCCCAGGAGAAGAGGATGGACTATGAAAAATCAGTCAACATCTCTGACATCAACAGGTCAATGTTCAAGTGCCCATGGCTGGAATATCCAGAAAGGACCAAAGGTGAGGCTGAAATGGACAGGAGTGGAGTCAGGGATAGGGACCTGAAAAGGAAAGCTCCCAGGCAGGGGTCTGGGTGATGTCAGCAGATCCGTGGGAAGAGGCAGGGCAGACCCTTGGATACTTTCAAGGCTCCCCACAGCCCTCAAGGTAAGTCTCCAGCGCCCTCTAAGATGGGATGTCTTTGTGTCTCCCCAGCTTCTGCCCCCTCATCTGCACCCCATGCTTACGACTCCAAGGTTTGCAGGTATTCCTCGTGCCCACTGCTCTTCCCCCTCATCTGTCTGGCTACCTCCTACTTGCTCTGAAGACTTGACTTGTGTATAATCTCCTCTGGGAAACCCTCCCTGCTCCTCCCAGCCAGGTTAGGGACCCCTCATCTGGACCACATGTGCCTTTATCCATCTTCACATTTGTTTCCCTCTGTTAATCACCAGTAAACAGTTCTGTCTCACCAGCTAGACCAGTGGTTCCCAAAGTATGTTCCCAGGACCAGCAGCATCAGTATCTTGTTAGAAAAGCAAATTCTCAGACCACACCCCAGATTTACTGAATCAACACTCTGGGGATGAATCTTCATCTGGGGATAGGGAAATCTGTGTTTTAACAAGCTCTCCAGCTCTTTCTAATGCACAATCAAGTTTGAGAACCACTGAATGAGACCAGTGGTTTTCACCATTAGCTGCACATTAGAATCCTCAGGGGAGCTTTCTAAAATGCCTGGGCCCCTTCCTCAGAGAATCTGATTCAGTTAGTCTGATGTAGGACTCAGGCATGTTAAAAATTCCCTCAAATAATTCTAATACCCAGCCAGGGTTGAGAACCACTCTGCTAGACCAGTGTTTCTCCAATTTCAACGTGCATAGGAATCCTGCTCAAATGAAGATCCTGACTCAGTAGGTCTGGGGTGGAGCCTGGGGCTCTGCATTTCTGAGAAGCTCCCAGGCTATGGCAATCTTACTGTTCCACAGACCAAGATACCAGGAAAGTATGAGTCCCTGAACAACAGGAATTATGCCTTATTTACCTCCCAGTGCCTGATACAGCGTTCATTAAATGCTAATGCTAAATAAATGAAAGACTGGAAGGATGACTCTTCAATCCACCCTTGTCATTGTCATCCCATTTGTACCATAGAACTCAGAAGAGCCACAGCTCCTGTTCTCCTGCCCTTGTCCTGCCACCAGGTAAGACCCCTAACTTCTGCCACCCTGGGAGCTTTGTTGAAGTAGGAGGGGCAGGAGGCTATCCTTTCCCATTAAGGCTAGTTCATAGAACCCTGACACTCACCCCTGGGGCTGCTACTAACTATGTGTGACCTTGGACAAGTCACTTTCCCTCCCTGAGCCTCAGGAGTATCCTCTGTCACAAGCCAACCCCTTCCCATCTCCCTTTATCAAGTTGCTATGAGACAATATCTGTAAGGCTTAGGCTATGCAGGCAGGGCTTAATAATGAGTCATTTTTATTAACACAGGGATCTTCCTCATTAGAGTTGCCAGATAAAATGGGATGCCTGATTAAATCTAAATTTCAGCTAAACAATGAATATTTTTTAGTATGAATATGTCCTAAATATTGCCTTCATTACCTGGAATCAAAATTCAACAGGACATCCCGTTTTTTATTTGCTTGGCTTTTACTAAATCTGACAACCCTACTCAGACTGAGTCAATGCCCCATTTTCTGAAGTCACGACAATCACCCGAGAACTCTTACGATGATCTTCTCAGTCACCACACTGGGAACCACTGGCTGAAGCCCCTCTTCCTTGTTGCTCAGAGATCTGTTGTAGAGACAGGAAGGCTTGAGAAGAGACAGGAATGAATCCTAGCCAAACCTTCCGAGAAAGCCCCTGACCCACCCAAAACCCCCCACTGCAACCAGAGCTACAGTTTCACAATTGTGTAAGAGATAGATTATTTGAAGAAACCCTGCTTTTCCAACCAAACTATTAAGTTCCGTGAGGGCAGGGCTGATAACTGTATCCCCAGCACCTAGTGCTTGGCACATGGTAAGTGCTCACTAAGTATCTGTTGAATGCCTGAATGAAGGAGCTGTAGCCTGAATTTCCACCCCCCCCTTTACTTCACATCTCCCTCGCCCCCTGCCTTTTCATCTCCTTGCCCAAAGCTTTTTCAAAGTACTCTGAGATGCTCAACTAACCAAACTGTGTACAGTTGTCCCTCAGTATCAGCAGGGGATTGGTTCCAGGACTCCTGCGGATACCAAAATCCATGGATATTCAAGTCTCTTGTATAACGTGGTGTGGTATCTGCATGTAACCTACACACATCCTCCCTAGATTACTTATAATACCTATTACAATGTAAATGGTATGTAAAGAGTTGCTGGGTACGTGGCAAATTCAAGTTTTGTTTTTTGGAACTTCCTGGAATTTTTATTTTCCAAATACTTTTGATCTGTGGTTGGTTGAATCGGTGGATGTGGAACCTGCGGATACAGAGGGCCAACTGTACTCAGATCAATTTGCAGATCAGCAATGGCTTCACCATCTTTATGTCATTTGTTCTTCACAACCACCCTGGGAGGGGTACAGAACAAGGATTATTAGCTCCAATTTGCAGAGGAGAAGACTGAGACCTTGGTGGGGTGAAGTAACTTGCCCGAGTCACACAGTGGGTTAGGAGGTGGCTGTGACTTCAGCTCAGATGACAAGGCTGAAGGGCTGTTTCCCTCGTCTAGTCCCTTCTCACCCTGGCCCTTTTCCTGGCTGAGGAATGCCCCCTGTGACTGCTCTGCCACTCACACCCCCCAGATGCCAAAGGAAGAGTTTCCCCCAAGTCCGGAGTGCTGGAGGCAGCACCCAAGCAAGCCAAACTCCGTACCTTACTGCTACTCCAAGCAGCCTGAGATCTACACGCACTGGCACACCCTGTATAATCAGCAAAAGGAACGGGAGGCCCAGAAGATACTGTGGAAAATGAGAGATCACCCTAGGTGTGTTGGGCCCCTTCCTGTTCTCCATGCCCTCCACATCTTCTAGGAAAGGAAGGAAAGAGAAGAAAGGGTTGGAGTGGGGCTGGGCGTGGTGCAAGTCAGCCTCCAGATCCCAGAGGAGACCCTGGGGTAGAAGGAGGCTCATCTTTCTTCCTCTGGTCTCACCTCTGAGCTGGGCTGAGGACCAGAGGCAGAGAAGAGTTTGTGAAGTAAGGAGGGAGGGAACAAGAGGACCAGGGCTGCCTGTGCAATTTCTCACACAGGTACCTCACAGAGGGTACCCTCATCCCAAAACTCCATCTCCCAATGAGCAAGCTGATTATAAAACCTCAGATGGAATCCAAGCCCTCAGACCCTACTGGGGACCCGCTGAAGTGGCAAAGATTAAAGGTCAGGGACCACGGCTCGGGGGAGAATGGGGAGACTCTCTTTCTGTGGGTGCCCTTACCTGGGGCTCACACCATCCTTCTGCCCTCTGTCCCTGCCTGCTGCCTGCAAGATGGAGGGAGAGGAGGAAAGGGGATTGGATTGGATGAGCTCCTTCCAGTTTGAAAGTATAGTTGTAGCACTCTATTTATCCCTTTCTTCCCTTCCACTGGCTCCCTTTGATGGGCAGGAACTCACAGAAAGCCTGAAATCTCCCAGAGAGGATGAGCAGCTCTATGCAGCACAGGTGAGAAGTGGCAAGGGTGGAGGGGCACGGTTACAGGTAGGAGTTGGCTGAGCTGAGGAGTAGAAAGATGCTTGAGGTGGAGGGCAAGGGTAGAGTGATGTTCCAAGAATAAACTCCAGCTGTGTCCAGAGGATGGAAATTCCCGGTGGTGGTGTCCAAGGTCTCTTCCCTTTCCTCTAACCCTGTTCCTGCAGGCTCTGGGGTGCCTGGGCGTCAGAGACAAGTTTATCACGGAAGCACTATGGCAGATGGTGAGTCTGGGGCTGCACAGAGATCAGGAGAGGAGGAAACAGAGCCTGAGGTGTGTAGAGCATTGGCACATGGGCACTGACAAGGCTCGCCAGGCTCAAGGACTATGGGTCAGATGCAGGGAGGAGAGAGCTGCCTTGTGTGGCATGTCCCCATCTCATGCCCTTGGCTTCTTTAAAGGGCAGCCTGATCTAAAAGGATGGGGAAGGGGGAATCTGAAGATCCCCTTTGTCTAACAGGCAAGATGAGCAACTAAAAAGCTAGGAGAAAACTGGGACTGAATTCATTCTCTACCTTAACTGAGTCAATGCCTGTGCCTATATGCCAATTTATAATGGGGGGTTCTGTGTTCTTACACAGAATCTCATTTAAATCTTCCAATATTAGGAATAGGTAGTAGTAGCTGCATTTTTCTAATGAGAAAATGAAAGCTCTGAGAGGCCAAGTGACTGGCCCAAGGCCATGTGGCTACCAGATACCAGAAAGGGATGTGAACTAAAGTCTTACTCCCAAGTTGTGTTCCTTCCATCGTACCATCCTGCCTGTACCCTGTGTTTGAGCATAAACAGGTCACTCTCTAGGCCTCGGTTTCCTCATTTGTAAAATGAAAAGTTAAGCTGAGATGATCCTGAAAGCTCTGACATTCCACCACCTTATGGCATGTTCCCACCCACCGCCTCTTAAATCAGGCCCAAACTGGCCCAGAGAAAGTGAAGTATGAGGCCTGTCAAACCCTGGCCATCCTGGGTGAGTATGTCCTCTCCCTGGGTGGGGAGAAGGGGGGAGGTGAGGAAGGAAGCAGTGCAGCCACACTGCCCTTTGGGGAAGGACAGAAGGGAGTGGACTGTACACTCACTGCAACCTAGCCATTGGCAGGGTCTGGGAATTGTCTGATGTACTGTTGGGCAGAGAGAGGAAGGTGGGGTGAAAAGCAAGAAGAGATTGGAGGGAGGGAGAGAACGGGCTCTGGGAACGGCCGTCATGCTCAGCCAGCTGCTCTAGTGTCTTGAGGGGACAGGCAACCCTGTGACCTAGTACTTGGAGCTTCTGTCTTGAAGGCACAGGGGTCAAATGGATTCTGGCAGAGAGGAGCAGCCCTGAGGCTCTGCCCTGACCTGAGGTCCTCCCCGTCCAGGTTGCCTGAATAAGCATGTGATCCAAGCTCTCATCAAGCAGCTGAAGGGGCAAAATGAGGGGCAAAGAATGGATACTCTGACAGCGCTACGGGTGGCTCTGAACTCCTGGGCTGCTGTCCCCAAAGACCAGGTGATTGGGAGGAGAGTCAGTCACTGGGGCGAGGTAAGACAAGGTAATTGATAGTGTTGGCAGGGGGTTAAGCCAGGGAGAAGGTAACGTAGCTCCTAGCTTTGATGGTGGAGGACGTTGTCCTTGTGGAGTCCCCTGTGGAATAGGTTCCCTGGACAGAGCATTGGCATAGCCACTTAACTGGTCATACAACCTCTGAAAAGCCAGCTTTCAGAGGTGTCATTTGTCCGTCTCTAAAATGGATAGAGTAGTTATCTTATAGCATTGTTGAGAAGATTAAATGAGATAATATATGTAAAGCACCTAGTTCAATGCCTGTACTCTTTAAGTGATAATTCATCGTCATTATTATCATCCTTAAAATAACCTATTAAAGGAAAACCTCTGCCAAAAGGGTACAGGGACCAAGAGAGTCTGCTGACACTACTCAAGACTTTTCCCCCTTAGGGTCCTCTTACTTTGACCCCATTGCTGCTCCACGTGAAACAGAATTCATCACTCATCCATTTACTCAACAAACATATATTAAACAGCTGTCGTGTGTGAGACACCATCCTAAGCCCTTGGGATATGTCAGCAAACCAAACAGGCAGAGATCCCGGCTTTCGTGGAGCTTACATTCTAGTGGGGGGGGACATGCAATAACCAAGAAATTTAACTATATAGTATGTTAGAGGTGACAAGTGCAATGGAAAAATTACGTAGCAAGGTGAGAGTGATCAGGAATGCTGAGTGGAGATGGGATGAGTTGCACTTTTAAACAGGGAGGACAAGGAAGGCCTCATTTGGAAGTTGTCATCCGAGCACAGACAAGAAGGCGAGGGGTAAGCCTTGCAGATATCTGAGAGAAGGCATCCCGGCAGAAGGACAAATCCAGGCAAAGGCCCCGAGGCAGGAGCACACTTGGCATGGTCAAGGAACAGCAAGGAGGCCATGTGAAGGAAGTGGAGTGGGAACAGAGAAACCAGGAGGAAATGAAGCTGGGTCAAAGATGTTAAAGGAGACTAGACCATATGTGGGCTTCTGGATGACTTTTAAGTACTTGAGCTTTTACTCTGAGTGGAATAGGTATTTGAGCAAAGCAGTAACATAATCTAACTTATGTTTCAAAAGGTTCACTCTTACTGCTATGCTGAAAAAAGATGGGCAGGGATGGGAGGCAAAAGTGGGAGCAGAGAGACCCGTTAGGGGCTGCTGAAGCAATCCTGGTAAGACACGATGGTGGCTTGGACCACGGTGGTTGCAGTGTGGTTGGTAAGAAGTTATTCAATTCTGGATACATTTTTAAAGCAAAACTCTGACAGGTTAAATGTGAGTTATAAAAGACAGTGAGGGGCACTTCTCTGGTGGCGCAGTGGTTGAGAATCCGCCTGCCAATGCAGGGGACACGGGTTCAAGCCCTGGTCCGGGAAGATCCCACGTGCCGCGGAGCAACTAAGTCCGTGCACCACAACTACTGAGCCTGCACTCTACAGCCTGCGAGCCACAACTACTGAAGGCCGCGTGCCACAGCTACTGAAGCCCATGCACCTAGAGCCCATGCTCCACAACAAGAGAAGCCACGACAATAAGAAGCCTGCACACCACAACGAAGAGTAGCCCCTGCTCACCTCAACTAGAGAAAGTCCGCGTGCAGCAACAATGACCCAACACAGCCAAAAATTTTAAAAATTAAAATTAAAAAAAGACAGTGAGGAAACAAGGATGAGGTCAAGGTTTTTGGCCTCGAAACTGAAAGGATGGAGTTGTTACCAACTAACATGGAGAAAGCTGCAGTTGGAACAGGCTTGGAGGTACTATAATATCAAAAGCCCAATTTTGGACAAGTTATGTTTCAGATGTCTACCGGACCTCCAAGGGAGACAGCAAGTAAACAGTTAGATATACAGCTAGAGGAAGAAATCTACGAGTTGTCAGCATATAAGTAGCATTTAATGTCATTCACCTAGATGAGATCACTAAGAACCAAGAGTCAAGCCTTGGGGCACCCCAATGTTAAGCGGTCAGAGACAAGAGGAAGAATCAGTAAATACTGAGAAGTGGCCAATAGGTAGGAAGACAGACAAGAGTGCAGCATTCTGAAAATCAAGTGAAGAACATATATCAAGGAAAGGAGATAAATCAACCGTATCAAATAATACAAGGACTGAGAATCGATCCAATGGATTTAACAATGTGGGAATCATTGATTTTCTTAACAAGAACCATTGTGGGGACTTCTCTGGTGGTCCAGTGGCTAAGACTCCACACTCCCAATGCAGGGGGCCCGGGTTCAATCCCTCGTCAGGGAACTAGATCCCACATGCTGTAACTCAAGATCCCGTGTGCTGCAACTGAAGATTCCACATGCCACAACTAAAGATCCCACAGGCCGCAACTAAGATCCCACACACCGCAACTAAAAAGATTCCACATGCCACAGTGAAGATCCCGCATGCCACAACTAAGACCCGGTGCAGCCAAATAAATAAATATTTTTTAAAAAGAACCATTCTGGTGGGAAGGTGGGAGTGAAGGCCTGAATAGGGTGGGTTTAAGAGAGGATGGGAGGAAAGAAGTTAGAGTTGGCAAGCATGGACAACTTTCCAAGTTTTGCTGAAAAGAGTTGTAGTCAGCAGCAGGGGTAAATACCAGAAAAAGGAAAAATAACAGCATGCTTCAATGCTGAGGTGTAATGACCCAGTCATTAGGAAAATGATCATTTTGAAGAGGGTGGGAAGAATTGTGCAGCAATGTTCTTGAGCAGATGAGAAGGGATGAGCTTGAACACATGAGTAGAGAGACTGACTTTAGATAGATGGTCATGGTCCATTGTAACACGTGGAAAGGAAGAACATATGGGTGCAGGTGTTGAAAGTTGGATAGAAGTGGTGGTAAGTGTCTCTGGAACTTCTTTTCTAGCTGCTTTTATTTGCTCAGTAAAGTAGGAAGCAAGGTCATCAACTTAAGAGAATAGAGGAAGAAGTATTAGAGATTCCAGAGGGAAGAGAATGAATTAGAACGGTGGGAAAGAGAATTGCCCAGGGAAAAGCAGTCTAATCACTAGGCAGCATTAAGGATCTACACAAGGTCTGTGTTCATACATTTCAAGTGAAATTAGTCATCATAACTTTGTTTCCCGCCAGGAAGTGCAGGTGCAGCGTTGGTGGAGAGCTGAGTACAATGAAGCAAGAGGGGGTAAAGGAGTTGAGTGAGCAGGACCGTGGAACTGAAGCTGGGTAAAGAGGGAAGAAAGTGAGGAGCAGTGACAAGGTGATCAGTGAATCGTTAGTCTTTGTGGAGTCCAACAGTTGTTGACATCAGAGGAGAACCAGAAAGATGGGGGGGAGGGGTCATAGAGAAGTTGCAGTAATGGGTAATGATAAAGTCTCTCTGTGGAATTAGGAATTAAGACGGCAGAAGTGTTAGAGAGTAACATTGATCCATCCACAAGAAAAGTCATAGAGAAATGAAAGGATGCGGCATAGGGGCAAGTAGATGACAGCAAAAATAAGGGAAGTGGGTAAAATAATCTCATGACGTGAGATTCACCTTAAGGAGGAGGGAGGATGGTCTGGAAGCAGTAATGAATTGCCTTCCTGACAAAGCCTGGCCGAAGACAGTCCCACCACCCGTGTCCCTCATCTCCCTCTCAGAGGACTCAGATCGAGGATGGAGAGAAGCTGGTGCCTGTGCTGCAGATGCTGATAAAGAAGTCAGGGAACAAGGCAGCAGTGGAGGCGGCCCTGTGCTTGGGGTTCCTGAGGCCCTGTAGCAGCACAGCCCGAGAGTACCTGCTGCAGTGCCTGCACCAAGGGCCGAAGACCCAGCAGATGCAGGTGTGAGGGGCAGGAGGACGAGCTCCCTGGGGAGCACTGGGGAACCGCTGCTGACTGGTGGGGTCTGGACCCTGTCATCCTCATCCCAGAGAAAAGAAGCTCCCGCAAGGAGCACCACAGGGTCTCTGTGTGTTTTGTCAGTATGTATATACATATGAGTACAGGGTTGCATGGACGCTAAATGTACACATGTCCGTGTACATTCGATGTGTATGGGTGTTCATGCACGTATGTACATGTGTGTGCACATGAACTTACGCTCTCACTCACGAGGCCAAGAGGGAGGAGAAAGGACCCCACCTATTCCCTACAAGTTCTAGCCCTCGAGCCTGTTCGGCCATCCAGATGCCTCTTGGACTGGTATACCCCAGCCCGCCCTGCCCACCTCCACAGGCACTCAGTATGCTGGTCAAGATAATGGGTGTGCACTCAGCCACGGTCATCAGGACCATCCTAGACCAGCTGTGCTATTCCAGTGTCCTTGAGGTAAGCTCTAGGGCTGCCTAGTACCCTGCCTTTTCCAGGACTAGGACAGGGAGTCTATCCTTCATGCCTTCCCCACCCCTGCCCTCAGCACCGTTTTGAAGCCAGCCAGATGCTCAAGACCATTGGGCTGGAACAGATCCAGGCACAGGGCCTGGAAGGACTCACGTTTGACCTGCTCAGGAGGAAGACGTATAATGAACCCTTCTTCGTAAGTGAGACCAAAACTCCCAAGTCCAGGCAGCTCATACCTGTCTCTCTACCTTTCTCTAAAGACCCCCCTGGCTTGGTTCTCACCACGCTGCCCCCCAAAGCATCACATTCACCCTAATGCAGCCCCTGTTTTCAAGCCACCTTGCCTTCATGCGGGCCGTTCTCTCAGCTTAAAATGCCCTGAGTCACCTCTCCCTCCTCTGCAAGGTGGAAAACTGCCGCATGCTTTCAGTCCCACTGGTAAGTAACTCATTTCTCCTTCTGCCTATTAAAATACGATTGTCCCTTTCAAGCCAGTCCAAACAACACCTCCTATGGGAAGCTTTCCCAGACCACCAACAACAGAATCACCCTGCCTTCCTCTGTGCTCCCTTGCTTTTATCTTTGTTATATCTTGCTACAAAACCAGCCACAGAACTGCTGAAGACATTTTTCTAAACTGTGAATCAGATTGCGGCTCACCTCTGCATAGAACTTCTCAAACGCCCCCCAAGCCCTCAGAAGGGCTTACACTGCCCTTCACCACCCAAGTCCTGCCTACCTCTCTAGCCCCACTACACTCCCGCTCAGAGCCACACACCAGCTGTGCTTAGGAACACCCCGTCCTGATTTATACCTATGGTCCCAGTGTAATTACTCAGAGTGCCCCACTCTGAAGAGTCCATTTGGTCACCTAGCTAAACTGAACTGTTTTCTGCTCCCTAACCTCTCTGTGCTCTCTCTTGCCTCCAGGCTTCTGTACCTGCTCTCTCTGTTGCCCGGGAAATCTGCCCCCAGCCCTCTACCTGGTTAACTCATGTTCCATGTTCAGGTTTCAGCTGAGGCATCACTTCCTCCAGGAAGTCTTCCTGGTACCCAGACTGAGCTAGGAGACCCTCCTATTGCCCCTACACTTAGTTCAGGAGTGTGACTGACTGTTCCACTTGTCTGCTTTCCCCACCAGAGCATGAGCTCCTCGAGGCAAGGATCATATATGTAGCACAAAGTAAACATTCAATAAGGTTTGAGAAGCACTTAAGGGTACACCCCTGAATCCTTGTCTCACCTTAATCCCTCTTCAGGCTATGAGGCAGGCTGTTGCTGAAACTGTGGAAGAGCTCAAGATGAAGCCCACAATGATGAACTTGGTGGAGGCGTGAGTGGCTTGGGCTGGGAACTGCCAGGGCCAAATCCTAGGCTGTGAGAAGGGGACAGAGGGTCAGAGAGAGCTGAGAACCTACGGCCCATTCTCAGCTCGCACTTGCCTGTGCCCCTGGCCAAGTCACTCTTTGACCTCTGGGCTTTTCTTCATCTGTAAAAAGGGGCTGATAATACCTACCACTCGGGGTTGCTATAAAGCTCCGATTAAGATGAGGACATGAAAGGGACTTGTAAAAGGTAATGTTCTGGACAGATGTGAGTCCTGATCATCATTTAGTGCCCCCTGGAAAATTGTAGTACCTACCTTTCCCCTCCCAGCCCCTTTCCTCACCCAAGAAATAAGAAGGGGAAGTTAATAAAATTAACATCACACATCAGCTTTATGCCTGACTCACTCTGGACTGTAAGAAGCAGCCAGCCTTCCTGCCCTCCCCTTAACTGGACCACAACACACTCACTCCCTTCTCCAGGCAACTGATGAGCTCAAATGCCACTGCACGCCAGGAAGCAGTCATCTCTTTGGTAAGGCCAGCTCTGCTACTCTGACCAGATGTTTTGATGGCAGGGGGAGCAGGCAGTCCAGCAGTTACTGAAGGGAAGAAAGGGCTGTAAAGTTTGGGGAGGTTGTTTGCTTGCTTTTTTATTTTAGAATTCCAGCCCTATCAGGAGTTCAGGAAAAGATTTTCTTCAGGATTGGAGGTGGGTGGGATAAGGGACAGGAGAAGGGTGTGAGGGGCATTGCTTAGATATTACATGTAGAAACTATCTTGACTCTTCTGGTGAAAAAATTGTACTGGAACCCAATGAAGTGGCCCCAAAAGGCAAGGAAAGTGCTACCTCTGCTGCGAAGCCATATCTCCTCTCCAGGCACAGGGTCATTACAAGGGCACTAGAATGGAAGAGTGTAGACAGGGCATCTTCCTGGGGCCGGCTATTTAGGCGCCCTCATCCTGCCTCTGCCAGGGTGTCCTGGGGATCCGCAGCCCACAAGTGTTCCACCTGGTCCTAGACATGCTGGATGTGGAAAAGAGCCCGTCTGTGAAAAAGAGCGTAAGGCATCCCCGCCCACCTCTTCTCAACCCTTCCTCCAAGCCTCTCCCACCTATCCTCACGCCACGTGCTCTTTGTCAGAGGGGAGGAGAGGGGAATACGCCCGTAGACACTGTCCCCTTGACCTCATTCCCTGGGACCAGAAGGGCCTGTAGACAGAGCTCCCCCTCCCCTCCCAGCATTGGCCTGAAGTGAGCCAGCCACAGGGCCTTTGTTTCAATGCAGCTACAAGAAACATTAATTCTTTTGGCCTCGACTGATCCCTGGATCCAAAACAAGCTGAAGAACAAGGTTCTCTTTGTACGTGAAGTGCCTAAGACCAGCATGAACGTAGAGTTCACGAGGTTCCGGAAAGAGCCTGAGAAACCCGAAGAGTTAAGTATCCAAGACGTTCAGCTTGCACAGCTGAGCCCCTTGTTTCTCACAAAGTCCAGTGCCACGCCAGACCCACAGAAGAAGTTAAATGCCCAGAAAGCGTCTGGTACCTCTGCCTTTCCATCCTGTTTCTCTAAGCCACAAAAACACAAGTCACAGGCCACAGGGTCCTGGACACGAGGGATCAGGAAACAGCTCCGGATCCTTGCTGAGACCTCCAATTAGGTCAGTTCTTTTGGCTGAGTTCCCACTCTCTCTTTAAGGATGCTTCTCAGGCTCCCCTGAGAAAATAATCTATACTTATCTTCCAAGAATAAATGAGCATCACTCCACCTACCACTACTGTTCCCTTCCTCATGGGCTGCACTGAAACATAGGTCACCTCACTCCTGGCTGGTCACTCCCCTACTCAGCCACATGTCCTTTCCACGAGACAAGGCTGCTCTGGACAGCCAGCCTGCCTTCCTAAATCAAGTCCTTGTCTATGCCCAGAATTTGATGACAAAGCTAAAGCTGAGCCTCTGCCCAGAGGTGGCTGCTGAGGGGAAAATGGGAGAATATCCTGGAAAGCTTGGCTATTGGATTATTTCCTCTTACTAACTTGCCCCCCCCTTTCCTATCAGTGGTCAAGAGATAAATTAGGCTTAATCAAGACGAACCATCCTCTCTTCTGTCTCTTATCTTACACCTGCTTTCTACCTACCTCAGGGTCATTCCCTTTGACAGACTATTTACTCTCTAAGACTGCCTTAGATTCTCCCTTATTTTTACTGAAGGCTTCAGTTTCCCTTTGCCAATAGGACCAATCACACCAATCCCAAAAAGCTACATCCTCCATCAGAAAGGAAAAGCCCAGACTTCAGAGTCAGACAAATCTGAAATCAAATCCTAGGGTCCATTACTCACTTTATCTTTGGCTTTGGACAAGTTATTGAACCTTTCTGTTTCCTCACCTACGATATGAACAGATCAATGCATACTACTTCTGAGGGCTCCTATGAAGATTAAACAATAATATAAAGCCTAATGGTGCCTGGCATTCCATAGTAGGCACTCAAATGTGGACTTCTTTTCTCTCCTTTCCTCTCTTCAGTGTTGCCATGTGAGCCAGAGATTTAAAAAGTCCTTTTACTTCCTCAGTCTTACTGAGTGGTCTAATGAGAGGTCACGTTCTTCCCATCGAGTAGGAAAGCCCAAAGTGACATAAATGTTCTCTTCTACTTCCCCACATTCCAGGTCCTAGAGTAGTCCAGTTATTCTGAATCCAGCATGGTATGTCAATGAGATTTATCTGCCCACCTGCCCTACCACTTCCAAATTCATGTTTTGCTTCACAGAGTTGTAAGTAAAAACCAAAAGAGTAGTTTCACTATTCTGGGGTATAAGCAACACTGCCTCTAATAGTGTGGCACAAAGACCAAAGATGGAAAAATGATTATTTTCTTTTGCCCACTCTGTAGGTTTGCACCGGTGAGCAACCTAACCCAAATTTCCCTGAGCCTTGATAGCCTGTGGATACAAACAAGGCCTTATTAACTACATAATTCAGGCTCTCAACTCCTGCAAAGTCCTGCCCACAGATTTCCAACCCCTCCTCTTCCATACTTATGGGTCTCTCCAGGGGATGTCTCATTACTCAGCCAGATACCAGTCTCTGCTCAGTAGGACCTCAATAATAATTTCACCAGTCCTCACCAGAAGATTTAAGGCAGCACCAAGGGGACTTCCCTGGTGGTCCAGTGGACGTGGGTTCAATCCCTAGTCGGGGAACTAAGATCCCACATGCCGCAGGGCAAATAAGCCTGAGTGCCACAACTACTGAGCTCACACGCCTCAACAAGAGAGCCCACATGCCGCAAACTGCAGAGCCCACACGCTCTGGAGCCCGCGCACCACAACTAGAGAAGAGAAAACCCGCATGCCACAACTAGAGAGAAGCCCGCACACAACTAGGGAAGCATGCATGCAGCAACAAAAGATCCCACATGCCTCAACGAAGATCCCACGTGCCACAACTAAGACCCGATGCAGCCAAAAAAAAAAAAAAAAAGATAAAGAAAAAAAATACAATAAATATTAAAAAAAAAAAAGACAGCACGGAGCATAAAGGTCTGCATAGAGCACCGACCGTCTGGTATGCCACCAAGGTACCAGAGCCTTCCCAGTACCAGAGCTACCTATATCCAATATTCTTAGAAACACACTTAATCCAAGCTGTGGCCAACTTCTCTCAGAGGCCTGAAATGCCCACTCTTCTCAGCCATCAGGATATGTTGGGATGGATTTTTGGACACCATCCAAAATGTAAGTCCCCCTCTTACCTCTCCTCCCTTTCTAATGGGATCTCTGGATACTCCCACTGATGGCAAAAAAAAAAAAAAAAAAAAAGGATTTATACCCTCTACCTCTACACCTCTTCCTCAAACATTCTCCCCCATCTCTGTGCTATAACTGAAACCTTGCTCTTGAACTGGCTTCTTCCTGAAATGTCAGGTGTTGCTCATCCTCCTACATTCCTTCCAATGTCACAATGTCCTGTCATTGTTTCTCCAAGGGTCTTGGCTCTCAAACGAGCTATCCCACCCTCTGGCCCACTTCCCTATTTTCTCTCATTCATTGCCTGAATCTTAGTCTTGCTATCACCATCCCTATGGACAACCATCCAACACCTCAGTTCCTCAGTCCCTCAGCTCAACTACAAAGGCTTTTCCCTCTCTTTCACTTCAGCTACCTACTTCCATGGCCACACTTAGCCCTAGTCATCCCCAGGAATTTCTCCATCTACAAAATCGTGAACATCTACTTTCTGACCCAAACCTTCTATCTCTCCAGCTCTTTTTATCCCCACTACCAGGCCTCTGAATCTCATCAATAACACTAAGGTCTTGACTTCCCTACATTCTCCCTGTTAGCCCCCTCTTACTTTTTAAATTTCTACTCAGCTGGGACTCCATCCATCAACCACTATTCTCACTATTCTTATACTTCCACTATCATCTCTCTCTCTGACTAGTAAAATCCCCAACCCTGAATCAAATTGCCTCTGATCCTATAACCAGGTTGCTGATTATAGTGGAGAAAACTCACACATCCATAGACTGGTTCCCTCAAAATACTTGCTTCCTATCTTAACTGAGTTCTTATTGCTGTCTGGCAATTTTATGGGTTCCTAGTTACAATTTCAAGCCTTCTCTGCTCTCTTCACATTTCCTACAGGCTCTTCAAACTTTCTATCTTATTACTCCCCAACTCTCAGTAGGCCATTATAATTTCTCTTCGGGGGAAAAAAATTAAAAACATCAGATGAAATTACCTCAACTTCTTGCCACCTGTTATAAGAATCCTTGTATACAGTAGTTGATAGCACAGGCTCTAAGGCCAGATACTCTGGTTAGTATCCTAGCTCTGTAACTTACTAGAGATGTGATCTTGGGTAAGTTGCTTAACCTTTCAGGGTCTCTGTTCCTCAGTGTCCCTTCTAAAAGCCCCTTTCCAGTAGCAATCAAAATCATTTACACTATTCACCTCTTCTCTGATTTTACATTCAAAAGGAATATTTTTCCCTATACCTCCTTGCCTCACAGCATTGTTATGAGAATTAAATGAGTTAACACATACGGATTGCTTATAATTGCCTGGCATACAGTAAGCTCCCAATAAATGTCAGTCATCTGTTACTACGATTATCAGCATCTGCACTAACCTTAGCTCCATTACAGTGCAAGAGGCACTCTCCTCTTCCGAGGCAAAATCCTCCACCAGTGTTTTGGGTGCCATTCCTTCAAGGAATTTGAATATCAATTTTCCCCATTTCCTTTCAAATAGTGTATAAACATGATCAATTCCCATCCATCTTAAAAATAACCTCCCACAAACCCATAACCCTTTCTAGATGCCTCCTCTCCTTAGCTCACCTCACCTCTAATCATCCTTCATAATCAAGATTCTTAAATAGTTGTCCACACTACCTGTCTCCATTTCTCTAATTTCTATTATTTATTACCCTACTTCAGTTTGGGTTCAGAATTCAATTCTCTACCAAAACTGCTTTTGCTAAGGCAGTAGTTCTCAAAAGGGACAATTCTGCCCCCTCCAAGGGACACTTGGCAATGTCGGGAGACATTTTTGGTTGTCACAATTGGGGGCTGCTACTGGTGTCTTGCGGTAGAGGGCAGGGATGTGGCTAAATATCCTATACATAGCACAGGGCAGCCCTCCACAACAAATAATTATCCAACCCAAAATGTGAGTAGCACCAAGGTTGAGAAATCTCATGCAAAGATAATTTATAACCTCCGTATTGCTACATACAATGAATGCTTTCTATCCTTTATGTGACTTGGCCAACTCGAGCACTTGACCCCATTAGTTTCTCCCTCCTTGTAGTCCACTCTTCCCTTGGGTTCCACTGACACCTCACTGGTATTCCCAGTCTGTTTCAGTATCCTCTTCTATTATTATTTTTTTTATTTTTGGCTGCACCACGTGGTTTGTGGGATCTTAGTTCCCCAACCAGGGAGGAACCCAGGCCCTCAGCTGTGAAAGCAAGGAGTCCTAACCACTGGACCACCAGGGAATTTCCTATTATCTCTTAAATATTGGTACTTCTCAGGGTTTTGTCCTAGGCTCTTTTCTCTCTAGACTCCAAAACCATTAGAATCAATTGGGGCTTTTGTTTTTTAAATGTCCCAGGCCTCACAGATTCCATTGTTCTGGAGTGGAGCCCAGACATCTTCTGCATTTTAAAAAAGTTGCTAGCTAATTCTAGTATCCAGCTAAGATGGAAAACCACTACACTAGTCTTATTTTAATCATATCCACTCTCATCACTTTAATTACCATTTATATACTAATGGCTCAAATCTATAATAATAGAGTCTTTCATTTAGTCAATATTCATTGAGTACCTACCTAGGTACTGGGGTAGAACAGTGAACATCAGAAGAGGTTCCCTACTCTCCTGGAACTTACATTCTAATGGAGGAGAGAAATTAACCACAAAAAGATCGTTTCATATAGTGATAAGTACTGTGAGGACATCATTAAGAGATGATGTGTGTGTGACTGGAAGAAGTATTTTAGATACGAAGGTCAGCAAACACCTGGGAGGGAGGCTGCGATTTGACCCAACATTGTTATGAAAAGATGTCAACCATGTGAATATGAGGAAAGAGAATCCTGCACAAAGCACACGCAAAGATACTAAAACAGAAGCACGTTTTGTACCATCAAGATTAGGACCAATGTGGTTAAGGTAAGGCTAGTATGGAAAAATATTCTCCTATGAGGTTGTGGAGACAAAGGCCAGATCATACAGGGCGTGGTAAGCCAAGGTAAGGAATTTATAGCCAACATACAATGGGAGGTCACTGAAAGGGTTTTAAAGAGGCATGACATATAGGTTGATTTACATCATTACCATATTGTTTAGCTGCTGTGTGAAGAATAGATTTTAGAGGGGCAAGATTGTGGGGGACCTATTAATGGGCTATTGCAGTTATCCAGAAAAGTGATGACTGTAGCTTGTACCAGGATTAGAACTAAGAATATAAAGATGGTTTCAGGATATATTTTGGAGGTAGAATTAAAAGGACCTGCAAGTATGGGATGAGTGAAAGAGAAATCAAATGTAAGTTCTAAGTTTTTTATCTGATCTGATTTGGGTAGATTAAGACTGAGATGAGGAAGACCAGGAAGAAAGAAACTGATTTGGAGATCAGAAGTTCTGTTCAGTCCCAGCGGAGTCACCAAAAAAAAAAAAGTTATGTTAAATACATCCTAGTGGAAAAGTCAAGTAGGCAGCTGGATATAATGCAGAGTTAAGGGAAGAAGACAGACTGGAGACATAAATTTGGTGTAGTCATCACCATATAAAACCCAGGATAAAAGTGAGTATAGGGGCTTTCCTGGTGGCGCAGTGGTTAAGAAGAATCCGCCTGCCGATACAGGGGACACAGGTTCGAGCCCTGGTCCAGAAAGATCCCACATGCCGCGGAGCAACGAAGCCCGTGCGCCACAACTACTGAAGCCCATGCAGCACAACTACTGAAGCCTGCATGAGCCTGTGCTCTG